GGGCCTTTCCGGGAGGAGGGGGTGTCGGGCTGAGAAATGGCTTCAGCCATCCGCGTCGTTGCATGCGCATCACAAAGTTTGTTTACGCAATTGTTTTTCTATCGATTTGGGTTTCTCTAACCTGTGAATTGGGTCTCGGGTTTTGCAAGGGTTTTTCTGTCGGAAGTCTTCCTCTCCTGGTTTAAAGGTTTATTTATCGTGTGCATCCAAAAGCCCTACCAGGTCACGTTTGAGCGTAAAGGATTTCAGTGTGACACTCGCGGAAGATGGGATCCGTACCGAAATGTTGATACCTCTGTAACTTTCCTTGGAATTTTCTGGAAGGGACTGCAGCCTGAAAGCATTGATGGAGAGTAATTGCCTTCTCCATAGCTTTTGTTAGGCGGTGAAAATGAAACCCGATCGTAGACGTTTTTACTTGCACACCCTGAGCACACTTTCGAGGTGGTGAAATTTTGCAAAGATAGAGGAAGCTCTGTCTTTAGCCTTCCCTTTCACCCTTTCGGCATTAGTTAATGGGAAAATTAAAAAAAAAATGGTGACTGATTGACAGGACGTTCATTATCAGATTTAATAATTGTGTATATTGCCTGATGTTTATAAGAATTGTAGTGTTTCTTACAATAAGTAAAATGGAATTAGCTTAAAATCCTACTAAAATGCCAATGAAATGGGTCAAGCAAAAGGGCTTTCAGTCTAAATTAATTTCTACGAAGTCTCTTGTATTCTAGGCTGGAATTGAACCCAGTATCCTATCTTAACCTGGAGTGCAAGCTGCACTCTGATGAGGGGGTTATCTTTTTATACTTAGGATTTTTGAAATATATGTGTATAAGTATCTTGTGTGTATACTGTATGGATGCCTGGTGCCCAAGGAGGCCAGGAGAGGGCTCTCATCTCCTGGGACTGGAGTTAAGATAGTTGTGAGTGCCGAGTGGGTGCTGGGAATCAAACCTGGGCCCTTTGGAAGAGCAGCCATTGACTGCTCTTAACTGCTGAGCCCTGCTTAAGATTTTTTAAACATAGACTTTGCCTGATTTCCACGCTTACTGTTCAAGAGAGATGGGTTCTGAGACTTTCTGGGATAGCCAAGAGAATAGTGTTGAGATTGCCACCTTGCATTCCATAGCTAGTCACTTGGTCACCCCTGCATTACCTACAATACTATCACTAAGCCTAGCAATAACAGGCATGTAATCCCAAGGGCTGGTAACAGGGGTTGGAAAGTCAAGGCCAGCTTGGGTAATTTAATTAAGGTCCTGTTTCAAAGAGTCAGAAGGAGGCTGGAGGTAGAGCTCAGTGGTGGAGCAATTTCTCTGCACAGGCTGGAATCCAGGTTCAGCCTCCTGGTACAACAAAGTGACTCCTATCTAACTGTCCGGAAAGAGTGCAGATTGTTTTAGGGAATGCCAGCATTTCTTTCATGTTGTTGACCTGCCCCTCTCCCTGAGTGCCCCCAGTGGTGGGTAGAGAGGGGGCTGACAGTTTGTTTACATAGTACCTTTAATTACCAGCTGCAAGCAGACCACAGTACAGAATGCCAGTAACACTTGGGGACACCTTGTGCTTCAGGTGCCTGCCAATCTCTGCCCTTCTGTGGGATGAGGTGCCCTGTCCTCTTCTCCGTAGGATCATAGTTCACAGTTTCATTTTGGGAACTCTGAAAATTATTGCTGTAGTGGGCTTGGATCTTCCTTTTATGGGACACAAAAGGGCTGAAAACAAAAGACCAAGAGGATTGGTGAATTTAAAGTTACTTCCCTTTTGAAATGGAAAACTGGAGACATTAATAGAGAAACTTCAGGACAGGGTTTCCCAAACTGAAACTGAGGGGACTTGATTGTTATGTAGGCTGCAAGGGTCTGTTCTGAAGGTCAAATAACAACTTAGTTTCAGTTTGGCTAACATCAGTAGGAGTGACTCCATTTTGATTTGTAACCTGGTCTGTTGAAGCCTAGTGTAAGACTGAGGTTGAAGACTATGGCCTCTATTTATTTTTTTATTTGACTCTGTTCTTGTGTGTGTTCTGTTAGGTAGTGATGCCTCCCTTTACTTGTTGGGATTGATGTAGTTTGTGTGTACCTCTTTGCTTTGTGGGTGGTCCAAAATTTCACCCTTACCATTTGATAAGAGTGAGTCTCCTAGGAAGAACTTTTTTTGTGGAGTTTGACCTTTGGGGTACCTAACACAGTTGCACCCATAGTAACTGTGTCATTAATTATTGGCCGCATTTTTTTTTCTAGTATGTTAGAAATACATGGGAAGGAGCCAGGCATGGAGCACACTTGCAATCCCAGCACTAAGGGATGGAAGAGGCAGAAGGATTAAAGTTTCAGGCAACACAGACCTATTGTTGTGGAGTAGTTAGAGATTGGAAATGAATGTGTGCATGCCCATTAGTAGAATCTCAGTTTGCTTAGGAACATTTAAATACAAATATTTTCAGCTAAATGTTTATTCTTTTCCTATTCCTAAATGAGAAGCTGCAAGATGCTTGTTTTATCTAACTGCTTTGTCTAGTTTGGAAGTCTGGTGTTGTGAAAAGCATTGTTTTGGAGTGGTGTGGCTAGAAGCCAGGACCTTCCCCTCTGGGTAGAACTAACCTCTGCAGTACTGGTCAGACACTTGGACTGGAGACTTTAAAGCCCTCCGTTCCTGAGCTGCAGACCTGGAGGAAGCCTATCCCAGTGTAGTTCCAGAAACACAGCTGGAAAAGTCAGTGTTGATCTTTTCCCTTCCTTCCCAGCTTTGCCACATTTACTAATGCCTGGTCTTTATGATGAAGTAAATGGCTTGCTTCAGGGTTTCTTAATATTGAGTCTAGAAGTCCTTACTGGGTGCCTAACTTAAAATAGTCCTAAGTCAAAAGCTGGAGAGATGGCTTAGCTGTTAAGAGCACCTGCTGCTCTTTGCAGAGGACTCCTGTTTGCTGCCTAGCACCCATGTGGCAGCTCAAAAGGTTTGTAGTTCCAGTTCCAGGGACTCCAATGCCTTCTTCTGGCTTCCATGGGCACTGCTTGCACATGGTGCGAATATACATACATACATACTTGCAAAACATCCACGAATATTAGAAATAATCTTTAAAAATAGTATTAAGTCCTTTCTGAGTCTTGTAGGACTTAAGTACATGATAAGTGCATGTTTTTACAATTTAATAGTCTTTTAAAAATAATTGATATCTATTTTTGTGTACGTTGGTGTTTTGCCTACATGTATGTCTGTGAGAGTGTCAGATCCCCTGGGTTGGAGTTACAGACAGTTGTGAGTCACCATGTGGTTGCTGGGAATTGAACCCAGGACCTCTGGAAGAACAGCCCATGCTCTTAACCTCAGCCCCCCTCCCCCAGTCTGATGTTTTTTGGGGGAAGGTGCATGTGCCTAGTGTGGTGGGCTTGCTTGCTCATGAATGTCTGAGAAGAGAAAGATGTGCTACGCTAGGACCAAGAGTATTTAAGTAGGAAAGAAACCAAGTCCAAATGGTGGGTGGGGACAGAGGGAATAGAGTTGACACTGGTAGGAGTTAATAGTCTTCAGTGGGAGAAATTTACCCACCTATTCAGGCTTTGAGTTCCAGCTAAAAGTTAGAAGAGGTTACCTTTTATTCTGAGGAGGCTTAAGTGCCTTATCAGGAATAGGCCCAAGCTCATCACAGTTCATTCCTTGTTGCTTTTCTGTCAGTTTAGCGACTGCAGCTGTATCTGCTGATATTTTGACTACTGTCTGCAGCCAGTACACATCACCGGGCCACTCAGACCATGGCCTGGTGGGATTTCCTGTCCCCCTGGCACTGGCTCAGCAGCAGCAGTCAAATGTAGGTTTTAACTAGGTCTCTCTCATTCTATTTACCAGTCCATACGCAGGAGTCAGATGTTGGTGTGAATACCTGCTGTATCAGAGACCCCGAGAAGCCAGCAGAACTTCCTTTTTGCTGGAAACCCAACAAGAGAAGCATCTCTACGCTCATCCCACACCAAAAAGAGCCCATCTCTAAGTCCCTCCCTACTCCTTCCTGTGTATCTCTGTCCATCCATATTCCTGGCTCCTCCATCCTCCAGGGCTAATTCTAGTCAACTAGCTGCTGGCTCAGCATTTTGTCTGTACTTCCATCCTTACAAAATCCATGCTTTGTGTTTTCATGTTGGTTTTGTCAGTCTTATCTATCATGAAATTGCT